GAACTTTGCTCCTTCATAAACGTTAAACTTTTTTTAGAAACGAACTTATTGGATCATTGCGGGAAGAGTGTTCTCTTTTCAAGTGGCGACGGATTGTTGCCGTTTTTTTTTTTCATATTTATTAACTACAGTTTGATTTAAATTTTTAGAGAAACCCGTGCAGGTGTCGTTTTGTTTTGAGAAAAAAAAAGGTATGGATTTAGTTGAGAATAAAAAGCCGATTGAGAAGTGTTGCTGGTTTGCTTTTTTTTTCCTAATGGTCCTCAAAACGGTCTGGTCACTAGACCCAAGGAGATAACAAGGCCAGCATAACACGGTGCAAGAGTTCTTAGCTGAAACTATGCAGGACTGAGAGAAATTATGATCGTTTTGATGACAAAAAAATTGCGCAAACATTTGTGGTTTTGTCCTGTTGCAATTTTTTTTTGAAATTGTTTAATTAGCAGAGAAGGAACGAATTCACCTACAAAGCTTCTTTTAGTCGTAATGTGTGATGCTCATATATGAATTATAATTTGTACCTATTCAAAGAAATAGATGTTGAAGGTAAATGAGTATTTTTGTCAGAAAAAGTGCTTTTAAGCAAAACTGTTTTAAGCAGTTTCAGAAGAAGAGTGGAATTGGCAACGCAAACGAATATTTTGACGAAAGTATATACGGTTGTAAGGTTGGGTTGGTGCATTTACAAAAATTACTAAGTTCTGGAGAAAGTCTCGAGCACACAGAAAAGTAAGGAAATTGATGTTTTCGAGGAAGCTATTTCATAGGCTGAAGTTCATATAAACATGTATTATTAATCGCTGTATTGCGGCAGAGTCGAGGGTTGTAATTTTGCTGCAGTAACTTTGTCTAATTCACGGTTGTGGACTGAGTTAGAATCTAATTAGCAGGTTTAAAATGAGCGTACTAACGGTGTTATTAGGCTGTGGTATTCTTGTCGGGAATCAGCTCTCGTGAAGGGAAGTGCGTAGGCATTGATACTCCTTCATCTCGTTGAAAGCATTCATAAGTTTGCCGTTGAATTGGCACTAGGGTATTTTATTCAAAACTGTAGTGCTGTTTCAGGAAAATTTGCAATTTTTGTAATATTTGTAGAGATATTTAGTAGACAACTTTGATTTTCAAGTTGGGCTTCTTGGTTTTTTAATTTT